AATAGCGTGTGCCAATCTGACAATTCCCGATAATTGAATTACTACAAAACGTATGATTAAATAGTTGTGTTTTTAAGGTCTACACGTGGTTGTTTGATTAGATGCACTCGTTAAACGATCATCAATGAGGTCAAGTAAAGTTGATTGCGGTCATTCCTCGGATTCGGTATTCGGTCGGCCGTGAAGGTGTTCGACACGAGTGTGACTTATGTCAATAAAGCATGGCACCAACATGTCATATTTGTGATATATCTGATACCATTGGGAAATTTCTTAAAAATAAATATATATATAGTCTATTATTTACTACTATCAACTAATATGAAGTTCATGTAATAAGTATATAACATTAATTTATTAAAATGAACTACGTAACAGAACCTTGTTATATCACTAGATACATATAATATAAATACTAACATAACATTGAAACGTGAAATCTAACTACCGTAACAAATTAATTAAAGCAACTTCACTTATGTATTTATTGCAAACATCACGTACTTATGAGAAAAAACAAAGATTGTCATGTCCTTCTCGGGGACACGTTATTGTTTGCTTATGACGTCATTACCTTAATCTGAAATCATATTTGTAAGTAGGTTACTCAAAGCACCCATAAAATTGTCTTTAACCGCACATAAACGCTTGCGTTATATGTATCATGGCCATGCATCCAATTTTGAATGGGACAATCCCATTTTTCGGTAGACCGGTGTACCTCAATTTTCCCGTGAAAGTAACTGAAATACAGATTTCTATTCCGCTTCGTAATTAAAATAATTATGTAAAGTACACTAAATTACGAATATAACTAATTATAGAATTTCGTACCACAAAAAACAATTAAATATAAATGGTTTTTTTTTATACTACTATGGTGGCAAACAAGCATACGGCCCATCTGATGGTAAATGGTTACCGTAGCCTATGGACCCCTGAAGCACCAGGGGTGTCACGTGCGCGTTGCCGACCCTTAAGAAACCTTAATATACCCTTCTTGAAAAACCCCATGCTCTAGTCTCGTGAGAAAACCTCGGCAGGAAGTTCATTCCACAATCTAAGTGTACGCGGGAGGAAGCTCCTCTGAAACCGCACTGTCCGAGACCACTTAGGTTCCAGCGTGTGGGAATGAATTCCCTGTCGATGGCGAGCGGTGCGATGGTGAAAGGTGGTCGTAGGCATCATGTCGAACAATTCCTCAGAACACAGTCCGTTGTATAATCGGTAGAACACACAAAGCGAAGCGAAGTCTCGCCTCAAACTAAGTGGCTCGATACCGTCAGAGAGATTGGGATCATCGACAATTCTCATAGCACGTCTCTGAACCGAGTCAAAAGGACCGAGCTGGTATCCAGGTGCTCCTGCCCAAAGATGAGATGGTGTGAATTAGTTGAATTAAAGCTCATCGCTTGCATTTTAAACTCATGAACAGTTTTGTCCTGTCTAACTTCCTTTTGACGGCCGTCCATTAAATGAAAAGAGATTTGTAGAAAATTATTCGGTATACAGCAAGTATTAAATAAAATAATGAATTTGTCTTTGTTAGACTACAATATATTTTATATTTTACTTCTTAAATGTAATGTATGACCCTTATCTTAATATTATAAACGCGAACGTTTGTGAGTATAGATGGATGTTTGTTATTCTTTCGCGCAAAAACTACCGAACGGATTTCGATGAAACTTTACAGTAATATAGCTTATACATCAAAACATTAGGATATAAATTTCATGCGGGTAAAACCGCGGGCTCAGCTAATAATAAATAAACTTTCGCTACTAATTAAAATACACTTATTTTATGTTAGGAACTGCCGTTGTAATCATAATTATGACTATGTCCTGTTCTAAGTATAAATAAAAATGGTCACGTTAATCATACGTCACGTTAGCGAAACTGTGCCTATTATACTCGCTTGTGACAAAAGAAAATGGGGGCAAGTCTGCTTACATAATCTTCTATAGCTGTGGTTGAAATGAGAAGCACTAAACTCAATAATGCAACTAATTAATTAGTAACAAATTGATTCCAGATATTTGGGGTTTTGTACCAAAAGCCTATAGACAATGACAAAATCTTTTATTCTATTGGATACTTTTTGTAGTTACTTTTTGTAACTTATAGATGTGGAAATTTTAAATTTACCGTCCAGTTAGGCTAGTTACTTCAGTTGATAAGAATTGGTAAGAAACTCAACTGGTACAATGTCATTAGATATAATGGTCATTAGATAGCTTTGACAATTGGAATTGTTTACGATAATCTAGTAGATTTTGAAGTACCATTCACTTAACGAAAATGGCAATCATAAGTTGTAAAACTCATCGGGAACCTCAGTCTCGCTTATATCAGCCGTAAACTTTTAAAGTGCACATTAGGCAATGAAATTAGAGGATAAGAGACACGACAGCCTACTTCGCTGGAATGGCAATGCATGTTAACGCGATGTCCGTAGTACCTATTGTTCATGTAAGTATATAGGCGACGGTTATTGCTTACCATGAGATGGATCAATAAGTTTGCCATTCTAATTACAAGAAAGCATAGATTTTATTGTTCAATTTCATTGAATTTACGAGTTGATTTCGTTCTTCTGAATTTGTTTCAATGATTATTTTTGCTGTTATGGTTAATGGGAGAATGATCCTGCTAATTTTGTCTCAATTGACGCCTATTTTTTTGTGTTGATTGATTAAATATAGCATTTATAACCTGACTGATATATAATTCATAATTGGTGATATGAACATGTTTTAATTAAACTACCCATTAATCACTATGGCAAAACAAGGACCTGTTTAGTTTTTATACTCATATTCGCTGAAGTCACCAATGTCATTCATGCATTCATGTATTGAGAAGTTTTCGAAACTCGGATTATTAAAATTGTGGAACCTTGTATTTTTGGCAATGAACCTTGACAATAATTATACAAATTTCTTAAATAATAACTATTGTTCGTCACTGAATTTATACACAGTTCAAATCAGTTAGTGCATTATTTTACTTGTATTGTATGGAAGTTTTTGTTTGGAATATCATGTCATTGTTGTAAGCAGTATACTGTAGGTTCTCTCACAAGATTTCGCCGATTGTATCAATATACAAGTATTCCCACCATTATAGAAAACAGTTTGATGCGTGCTGGATTCCTTTTACTAATATGTGCGTTTTTATTGTCGTGGCCAAAACAAATATAGCAGTTTCACATATTAATTATAACGGATATTTACGATTATATTTTAGCCGGTTTTCTTAATAAGTTTGGTCATATCTTCGACATCTATTAACTGGAGTAATGGAAAATTCGATTCGAGTTTTATCATCGGTCCATATACTGAGAATTTACTTTGGAAAATATATCTATTAAGAAACCTTATAAATAAGAAACTGACTCATTAATTATATCAACTCTTACACACGCTTATAAATACTTACAAGGTTGACTGGAAGACGATCTCTATTTGGGAGAAGTAAGTTTCTGATGTTGTATACAATGAACTTACATATTGAATATTTTACGGTAAAATTGAAAACGCGAAAGCAGATATTGAAACGCTATTGTAACAAGCTTTCATATATATTTTGATTATAATTTCTGATTTCTGGATTTTTATAACAAAAGGAATTTTAATATGTTTTCAGAGTTATAACATAGATGTAAATTATAGTTTAATTTATATAGTAGGTAATTTATATGTAACAATATATAAGCAAATTGTAGTCATTGGTGTCTAAATGTTCCACAAATTTTCAAAAGGTTATTGATGTTTATTGACCTGATGATTTTGACATACACCCTACTATTTGAAAGTAATGAATCACTTTCGTAGTATATCCAAAAATTCTAAAGTTTATTTCATAAACAATCGAGCATCTAGGTATACCTACAATAACGTCTGAAAACTTAAAAATACAAGTGAATATCACCTACACACATTTAGATGTAGGCTGAACTATTTTTTTAATATGCACCTAGATGGGTGGGTCACATAACCGCTCTCCGAGCAGAAGTGTCTCTTCCTTCTAGTAATTGATGAAGTTAGGTAATGTTAAACTTGTAAAATCACCTATCTTAGGCACAGCATAAACACGATTAAAAAGACCTTTCAGTAAAACAATGCAGCTTTGATGTAAGACGTAGGTATAGGCAATACAATCGACACAACCGTTGGCATTTCTCATAAACTTGGTCCTTTTATGAAGACGTTGACGACTTCTTAATTCTTATACACAATACTGTGATGCCGTCTGTAACTGTGTAAGTATATGTTCGGATCGTCGCACGCGCAACCTCGAAAATATTTTTAGCTGCAGGAAGGTTCGCCGGTCGTTTTCCTCACGAGTACCTACATACTACTTACATAAAACATGATGCATCGACGACTATCAAGTTTATATCGCACAGAATATTCAGTAGGAGGTTGTTGTTATCAGATTTGAGGTTAATCACTTTGTTCTTAAGAAATATTAGTTTAAATATGATGCGTCTGCTGTGTTATCTTGCGGGTCAACAAACTCATAACAAATGCTAGTAGAAGTGAAAACAAAGATGTATATAGGTAGAATATAGAGTTAGATATATAGGTATGACAAATATTTATCCCTTAATTAAAACCCATAAAAATTAATCACATTAAAAACTAAAACTCATCTTAATTAGTTAAATTTTTCGTAAAGAATCCGTGTGCTTAAAAGATAATACTAACGTAAGCATATTATATGTTTGCAATTGAGAGAGAGTTTTAACTGGGTGTATGTTGTCCTGTCGACTCATTATTGTTGAAGATCGTGAGCTCGTCTCAATCTTTACTCAACTTGCCTGTATCTACTTCTTTTCTGTGTTATGTGGGTACTTGTGTTAGCCCTAAAATGTTCCACCATCTTCATGGTTATTAAATTACAAAGTTTTGATATTTTGGCAGCTCACTTAATCTAATAATATTATTAGCATTGTTCTAGTTATAATTTGCTTAAAATTTAATTATTTTCAGGTGCATGCAGAAGACGTCATCGGTTTCGGCATATCGAGCAATGGAAAGTTTATGATGTCTTGCTCATCAAAGACTGACATGGTTATATGGGACCTTAAAGGACAACAGTTAGATAAGCTAGATACGTACTTAATGAGTACACACACCGCCAAAATATCGCCGTGCGGCCGTTTCGTTGTAGCAACAGGCTTTGCACCTGATGTGAAACTAATGGAAGTATGTTTCACAAAAACTGGCGAATTCAAACAAGTGTCAAAAGCGTTTGAATTGACGGGTCACTCGTCTGGCATATACGATGTTGCATTCGACGTGGACACTTCACACATTGCTACTATATCTAAGGACGGCACGTGGAAGTTATACCACACAAAGAGTAAGTGCTCATTGAATACTTAACATAATACGCAAATGTGTTACTTTATCTTTTGTATAGTATGTAGGTGTTTTACATTAACACGTCGTTACTGCGCCTTACTGTTTCTTAAACACATAATAAATATATTCAAACATAGATGTCACATAATATGTGTCCTAGAAGTTTACTACGCCGTCTCAATAGTCTGCAGTACATGAATCGTTAATTAATATATGAGTATGAATCCGTATAAATGTCTTCGCGGTTTCATTGAACATTTAATCCCCTATCAGCACGTAATCCTCCCAAATCCAACTGATATTTGCACTGACAACGACAGATCGTTCCACTACAGTGCATAGAATGGCTTTTCGCATATCAGCTTCTATGCGGCTAGTTGAAACACATTTCAGACGCGATATGAAAAAAGCTATAATAAACTTTGAATATTTTATATGAATTTAAGACCTCTGTTACGTAGTGCTATAATAATCTATGGTTCAACGTTCCAAAGTTCAACGTTCAGTGAAACGGTAAAGGACAGTGGCTAAGGATTAAGAACGACAAGATATTGTTTATACTTCCTCTGGGCCGTCCGTCCCTTGTCATGTATCGTTGAGTTATACCAGTTCTCGTCATAGGTATTGTTTCTTTCTTTTGTGAAATAAGTTATTTCTAAAATTAAATATTTCGCAAAAGGAAAACGAGTGGGGCAGCTTGCGATTTACTTTATTCGCTACTAGTTATGATTATTATAGGTTTCAAACATAAATCAATAACACAATCAACTGAAATGTGTTCGCTTTTCTCACGTGAATTAGCAGTATAAAATCAATACCTACCTACGACACGAGGCTATGCGAGGATTGACAAGAACACACTTGATGCGAATGACATCAAGGTAAATGTAGGAAAGATACGCTGTTAATATTGCAATAAATATTTAATCTTTAACATCAACAAAACAAAGAAATTAATATTTAATTTATGTGTAATATACATGTTCAACAGGATGTAAGAAAAATAAACAAATGATCGAACGATGATTGACACCTTAACTATACTATACTATAAAAGCTATCTGGTAAGAAATTATTAGTAGTCGAAATTAATATTTTTATTAATAAATGAAATCTCTACAAGGTTGCTGTCGATACATAAGTTTCAAGAAGACCATGTATTGCATTAAACAGTGGAGCCCATATACTCATGCTTACAATATTATTTAACCTTATTGGTGCCTCGAATGACGCATTTCGCCCGCTCAATGGTGTTAAAATGCATTATTGAATATAAAATGATGCCCTTCATAGGCCTCGGTTTATTTTCCATAAGGATTTTATGGAACGAGTCATATACCTACTTCTGTGAATATGTTCGCTATCCTATACATTATGGTTTCATGAATATTAATTTATTTTCCAGCGATTTCTTTCGCGTGAACTTTGATTTTGAATGGTACAGCGGTACATTTGCCTTTTTTACACCATTGTCGAAAAATGAGGCTAATGCTTTTCGAATAATATTATTGATATCACTATATTTATGGATATTATATTATATATAAAAATATAATATAATTTTGTTTAATATAGAAAGATAATAAAGTGTAAAACTGTACGTTAGAATTCCGGAAATGGGGAGTATCTTGCGGAAAATCGTAAGACGTAAACTAGAAATTTAATGCATGGGTTGCCGTTGCTAATAGGAATAAATAAATTCATTATTCTTCATAGTTTTGCTGATGCATCTAACGGATGTTTATTAAATCAGTCCCGATGAGTAATTCAGATGAATAACTACGGCTTTTGTAATCACTCATTCTGCAATTGTCGAAATATGAGTGATTATTATTTGTAACTTATAATCATCACTATTATAGATAAAAGTGTCTTAATGCAAATAGGTAAGCGATAAAGTTTATTTATTTATTTACACATTATTTAAATTTTAATATTTATGATTTACTGCATGTACCAGCGCCAAATCGCTTACAAAGTAAACAGTCTAGATCTAGTGACTAATATTTAATATTATTTCATATGATCACTTAATCGACATATATACGAACAATACAACATATGATTTAACGGTTTAGTACACCGCCTTACTTCTGATGGTTGTATGTTCAATTCCTCACACGATGCAAGTATTCGTATTAATGACTAGTATAGTTTGTATATTTATAAATTTGTCAAAAAAAAATTTTTTTTGTAGCAATGTGCTGAATCGCTAGTCGTCAAGTACCGAAAACACAGGCTCTGCTTGGAACTAGATGGTGATGTGTGAATCGTCCAAGATAAAGAAAAAAAAAACATTAATAATCCATCGATATTTTATAGTGTAGCATGAGTGTTATTCGCAACTTTCTTTACTCCTTATTTCATATCCTTAAAGAATGTTTTTTTGGGATGTATGTTATCTACATATGTCCGTCCTCATGATACACACTGTGTTCACGTCATTTTTCCGTAGTACTTGTTTTGTTATCCTTTCATCTGACATTAAATTGACTCGATATTTTATAAATAACAATATTATCTCGGCACGACGTAAACGATTCATGATGTATACGCAAACTACGTATGAATATTAAAGCACGATTGTATAATGTTTATATCGAGATAAAATCATTAGAAAAATATGATGATAATATTACTCATGCGTTAGTTGCTTGAACGCGGGAATTTACGTCATTTACCTGTTGCTATTTTTTTAACGAATATCGTATTTTATTGGGGCTTTCCATGTCCAAAAATTTATGATATTTTTTTAATGTACTTATCGTTTTTAATAATATATCGAATAATGTAATGTCATTTAATTAACATACACGAGTGAACATGCATACGACTAAGATAGGCAGTAATATAATCCAAGATGACACCGATATTTCAATGTTTTCATAAAAAAGTATTAGGGAAAGTGAAGTTTTTTTCTAAATTAACACACAGGTTGGTTAATAAACAACTAAATATTTTGCATCGTCCTTTGCCTGTTATTTAATAAGATTAATATTTCTAATTTTAAACTACGTCTGTTTCATACCTTTAAAAGGTGATAAACCTTATGGAAAATTGCAACCGGCGCCTGTAAATGTATTTATAGGTTCACATGCTTTGACACTTATTAAGACTAAGGTGTTAGAGATTTCTATTTTTTGTATGATTTAGAATGGAAAACAAGCCAACTTAATAATCTCAGCGGTGCGTTTACGGTACTTCTTACACTTTTGCATATGGAAGGACTAGACTCCTTTGTACCCAGTGATTTGGCTTCCAAATTCTTTAAGTTAAAACCGATATAGAATAGCATAGCTGACGCTTGGTGCTAGGAATAAGTGAAGCATGGATACAGTTTACCAATTACTCACTTTTTCTACCATAAATAGCTGTACTTGCTGTCAAAAAGTTCTATACTAAATTCTTCTATATTTTTTTTATTCAAATTCAAGTTGAAAAACATTTATACATATAGGACATTTTGAGTCGTGTATACGTATTAAAGTTTTTATCCCTATCGCTAACGTTCACATCCGCTAACTACATCAGTTGAGAAGAACTGGCAAGAAACTCGACTGGTAGGTACATATTTTTTATTTTATTATCTTTAATTATTACTATTATTTCGCAGTTGACTATGCTCGCGGCGAATCTCCGCACGTGCTCGAAACGGGCAAGTACACACAGAGTGCAAATCCACCGCACATAGCGCTGTCGCCCGATGCCGAAGTGCTGGCCGTCTCAGTGGATTCCTCCGTCGAATTCTACGACACATACACCGGCGACTTGTACGACACAGTGGAGAATTTGTATTCAGGTACACATTTTACTACCTAAACCTACCGTTGAAAACAACGTACAATGTTCTAAAAGTTAGTTAAGTTCTAAAGTTGTCTTTGTGTGCATGGTACGCATCAGCGTAACATGCACACGTTAATTTTAATCAGCCGTTGATTTTTATAATAGAAACATCAGACTCTTGCATTGGTTCCATGTCCATTATAGATTTATAATTATTGAAATATTGTAAATATTTATGTTTGCGGAATAAAATGTTATATTTGCTAGCTTTGCAATTAGAACTAGGAAGAAAAACCCATTCTAAAAGTGTCAAAGAGGCTCAAAACATCGAAGACAATACTTGGGCACAACATGAAACCTCGGGTGTCGCCATTGTTAGTAAAGGTTAATATATAATGCTGCTTGTTGTTGTTAAAATAAAATATATGAGAAAACCTGTACTAGTCGTATAAAAGACCTATTGAATATAACTAACCTTTATTGACTTTATTTTTCGTAACATTCACGATAGTATTTTATATCGGGATTTATCTACTTGAATCAATGCCAATTCAAGCATACGCTAATTTTATCCTAAAATATATAACATAAAAAAATATATACATTTAATTTGGCTACTAATAAAAGTACGTTCTTTGTTTATCCAAAATAAAGGCAATAAATAAATTTGATCCCACAGTTTGTTTTCGTTATTTATATCAATATATGCGGCTTGGCTAGCGGTTTCCAAAGAGATTATAGAGATCATATCTTAAGATCAAGATCATACCTTCATTAATGTAATGTAGGTTGTTGATACTGAACGTCCGTTAGGTAGGAATCCCCATTTATCCCTATGTATGCTCTTCCGACGATGTGGAGTGAATTCTAGAATAGAAATTATTTTAGAAGTACATTCGCCTAGGTTCATACCTAAAATGCATCTGAAACTGATTTTTTGTGACCATTAATGTAAATAATAGTTTCGTAATAGTACAATGTCTTTTCCAGTTTACTCTATGTATTATTATTATGTAATAATAATTATAATTATCAGTTTATGTTTCGGCACTATTTGGTATTTTCTATTAATAAATTGATATTTGATTATTTATATATGTTTTGGGCCATAATAAATTAAAAAAACGTATGAAGTATATTGCTGCGGATTAAAACTCTAGAGTTAAATGAAACGGCGCAGTCAAAACACAATCTAATTAACGCTTTATTATAATAGTAATTTCGTGTTATATACTATATTATAGTACTGGTAATACTTACACCTATTGACCTAACTGTAATCTTATCGTGATATACTTTAGCACCAATACATTTTTAGTCGACGTTATAGGAGTGACCTACAAAACTTTACGTCGTTAAACATGGCTACTAGGTATACGGCTGATATATATTTTTTCTATGATAATGCAACCCGCATTCCTTTGTACACGTGTTTTGGTGAAATTTAATTTAATAAAAAAAACTATTTGTTTGAGATAAGAATTTGTGCCGCAAGTAGCCAAGAGCTAGACTAATTGCTGTTCGATATTAGCCGTAGTAATTCATTATTGCAAACTAAACTGTTCTATTTATTAGTCATTGTTGAGAGCGAAAATTTTGCGTGCTTTTGTTACTTAGTGACTAATAGGTAAGCTAGATACATATCAATTATATAATACAGGCTATAAATATTTGAATGAATCATTAAAATAATTTGAAACATTGTATGTTATGATACTGTTTCATTTCCGTAACCTTGTTTCCAATAGAGTTCAACATGGAAGTTCGAAAGGTTTTTTAATTCTGCTATTTTTAATTCTGTTATTGCTAGTAATGGACGTATTGTGACGATTAATTTTGAAACTGGATACCGTAATTATACCATAGAAAATTAATCCCATTTAGTACCTAGTAGATTTTCCGTTTTTATCCGAGTAATAGTGATTCAGTTTTCTATCGACACCAAACCACATAATAATTGTAATAATAGTATTAACTAAGATTTGTGTCAATATTAATTTATGACTTGCCGTTTCTGTGCTGCGCTGTTTGGCACCATTTTAAAACTTTTGAACATATTAATTCCATACTCCGTGTTCAATGAAACCACTAACAAACATTGTTATCGATCTAAATAACTTTTTTTTATATAATAATAATAATATTTGTTTATCACTCACAATGGTCCTTTTAGTGAACTTTTAAGTAAACAATAGTTATACCTTGAAAGACTCTGAACTAGGTCGACCACTGTACTATAAATATTTTAGTCTTAATTATGTTTCAAAATAACAGTGAATTAAAATATTAATTTCAATATTCATTTTTAAAATTCAATTAGCATTGTGTCTAATTCAATATTTAAATTTAGACACCAGAATAGATCTGCAGTTTACTATTCTGCTCTTTAAACCAGTAATTTAGTTAATTTGTGACATAGTAGAGGTTGTCTTGTCCTCTGGCTACTCTGACATTGGACTGGAATTAGAACTAGATTTATAGCAAATTTTAAATTAAAGTAAATTGAGCTTTAAATGCGTTCTAATCTATAAATCTATAAAGTGTGGCAATGGTATGCTGCATCTAACTGCGCTATCGGTATACACTAGTGGAGGATGATAATATGAGCATGAAGTCAGATCAATTATCCCATCGTGGTTAATTCACAGTGCATTATCAAGCGGTTCAACGGGGACCACGTGGAGGTCGATCTAACTTTACTTGTTAGCAGTTTAATTTTGTTTTAGAATATTGAAAACTAAACGAATATCTATCCGGTATGCCAGGACGTCATCGGATACGGATCACTTGGTCGAGAGATATTATAGTAGATACGTTTGCAATAAATCCGTAGAGACAAGAAACAATTGTCTATTCTTAAGAGGAAAACGGTTTTCCTCTAACTCAAGTAGGTATCAAAGTAACGTCCACAAATTTGCGATTATGTATGAGTCATACATTATTACGTGGTCATTCAACAGCGAAAATATAGTGGGTAACTTTAATGTATACGTCACTATACGATATGATTCATTTAAGAGGGGAATCCGTATTCCTTTTGTGTTTTCCCGTTTTTACTTTCCTTGCCCGCTTTACGTAAAAACGGAAGCGCAAACGGATCTTTTATACATATGTACATATACACTTGATTAATCTTATAATAATATTTGGACACATGTCTTTAATTGGATATTGACAATATTTATTTTAGAATACTTTTCCCACGATTTTGTTTATTCAGAAAAATAAGTAAATAAACGATTTTTGGAAATAAATAATGAGTAACTTTACTTACTAATGTTATCTTTTATTAGGTCTTAATAAAATAGAAAAATATGTCTCTCGGATTAATTTAGTTTATGATCACTGTTTTTATCACCGGTGAATTAATATGAAATATTAAGTGAGACAATTTTTGGTGTTGGCTACAATCAAACACACCACTCACAATCGGGATAGTAAACCAGATAGGTTGCAAATCTCTCGAAATAATATATTCTCGATAGTATTATAATATTAACTGGCATTTGGCATTGATGATTGACGATCAAAGGGACATAGGTATTCCCAGTTTCCGTTGGATAAAAGCATTTTATTTATATCTCATTACGAGGCTATCGGAAGTCACTCTGATTTATTTAAAAGTCGTAATCAAACCGTTATATTATCGAGTTCATTTAAGTAGTTGACAGTCTCGATTTTTGTGATTATTCGTGCCTACAGCTCTAAACCGTAATTGCCTGAAAAAAACTTCGCTCAAAATGATTATTTAAAAAGGCGTGATAATATTCACGCCCATCAATTATCTCAAGTAGTCTAAAATAGAGAATCATCTTTATATTTTATCATTGTCTTTTTTTTTTATATAAATATGTACGTAATATGTAGGTACATAACCTTTAAAACTATAATTTTATAGTTTATGTACTAGTCGTGATCTATAACTTCTCAAAGTTTAACTAAGTCCGTCAGCATTATGTCCGCTTTGACCATCGAAATGTTTTGTACCAATAAAAATAAATGAAGTTTGTTTAACTAGTAGCAGTAGGTAATGTTGTGATTTCGGGTCGAAGGTCGGAGGTCGTAAGTTTGATCTCTAGCAGAGCAAATAGACGTATAATAAAAACATTGGTTTTTATTATATGTGTACTACGTGATGAATGCTAATTTATTATAAGCGATACTCCACTCCAATCCATCCGGCAGTTTGTGGCACATAAATTATCTTGGTTTATAGTACGCAGTCCAAGCTTGCTGATCGTTCTGAGCGTATATAATTAATATGGTTGTACAATCTTTTTTTGTTTGTTTTCATTTCATTTTCATTGAAACTATTTTTGGGTATCTAGAACTTGTAAATACGCATGTAATGCAAGTGAAAATAAATCTCATAACAAGCGAAAATAGATATTGTGTTGGAAATATTTAATATAATTAAACAATTTTATTGTACCTGCAAATGTTTCAGGCGTTTATTGTGACTGTATGCTTGACTGACACCGCTGTGGTATTAGATAAAGACATTGGAAATATTGGGCGAGACAGTTGATGGCTATGACGCTATCAAATTGCTATCTATCTGTAGCGACAAAATTTTCCAAAGAAATAAATTACTGTCATTATTAAAATACTTGTTGAACATGTCTTTTGGCAATGATACTAATTTATTACTCCCTAATAAAGTCTGTAAGCAATAATTTATTTTGTTTTGTTAAACTTCATACCTGTGTTCAACAATCAAAATATGTTATAAATACAAGTGAGACAGTTATATACTTACATAAATGTTTTCATTTCAGGTTTAATTACAGACATGAAGTTTGATGCCAGCGGAAAATATCTGTTCGTGTGTGGTGATCGTGCCGTGAGAATACTCCACAATGTATGCGGCTACCACACTACAATAGCAAGTTGTCGCCGCCTCCTCAGTTCCAAGCAAACTTCGGCCACTGTGGAACGCCTCAACAAAACCATACAAGACTGTAAAGAGACGTTAGCGAAATTTGGCAAGTAATTGGGGCCAAATTTCAAACTGTCACATATTTTGCATTTATATTCATACGTAGTTAGTTAGTTACTATTTTTATACGTTTAGTTAGGTCTTTACCAGTCGTATTATTTTTATGTCACAAAATTATTTTAAGTGTATTATATTGAAGAAGTGCAATGACTATATTTAATATGCAATATTGTTTGAGAGCCCATGGTAGGCACCAAACTACTAACGTAGCCTATCTGGGCCTATGATCACCAGTGAATACTGATTGACTGCAATGATGATTATATAACGTATTGATCTCTTTTGAAATTTGTATAGAATGTATTATCTATTTGAACGCCGTAATCAGTATGCAAAATTTACAATTTATAGATAGTGATGTGTTTACAATATCGATATTTTATTTGGTTTTGCTAAACCGCTGACAAACCTAATTAGTGGACGTAGAAAATTCATTAGAAATAACAGTATGTTAGGGTCCGTTAGGTACAACTAATTCTGAATATTATGTTTCTCTTCCCTAAAACTGCGTCATAAAGTTTATATGTGACTCAGTAGTTATATATATTCATATTATTATAATTACAATTAATTTTAAATTAAGATGCTATAAATTAATTTTCGTCCTACATATTAATTTATATGATAACATTATTTCAATTTACTAAAAACTTGTTGTTTAAAACATTATGAAATGACTGTAAAAGGACATTTTGAATTAATATCATTTACTTATTGCAAATTAACTACTTTAAATATCAGACATGTCAGCGGTGTACAAGGCATTTGTATGTTAACGTGTATATTTACAAAACGTTTCTAATTTATGTAACTTAGTAAACGGAACTAACATCACTTTTCCAAAGTATTATAAATAACAATAGATGTAAGTGTCGGTCAGATTTTGTCGACTTAATTTTTCTACCATGTTTATTGCAGTAATTTGATTTTCATTACATTTTTATATATAAATCTTGTTTTAATAATAATAATATTAAATAACCAATTAACACAGTTCCATCTAGTACCGCGGTAAGCAGAACTTGTATTATGGCTACCAGATAACTGATAAAAATACTTAGATTTTTTTGTATAAATAATATATACATAATTTACATAGAAAACACCTCCACACAAACAATCATACTAATGAATACAAATGTTTGTATCGTGCGAGGAATCGTACCTACGACCATCGGAAGTGAAGCGATGTGCTAAATCGCTGGACCACAGAGGCCGTCATATAATCTACAATTATGACATCATAAATCATAAGTATGTAGTAAAAACACACAAGAAGTTGCAGGCCAAGCTTAATTCCACGACTTTTGAGATCTAAGTCTACGTAGCGAAACAGTTCTCTTAACGCTGTCAAATGCATCTACTCATATAAATATTCTAGCAAATACGCCCTATTTCCTCAGATCCACGTAAGATTTCCTTGATGTTATATAGCTTATAATCGTCTTCGATAAATGAGCTATCCAACACAAAAAAACAGTAGTTTCTGAAGCGCGTCCAACCAGTTACCCCAAAAATTTGTTTTTGTCACGTTTTTTTTAAGTATCATAATACTGAATTATGATACTCAAAAAAACGTGCCAAAACAATCAAAAAAATTCGACGACACAGTTCGATTGTGTTCATGAGAAAGTGTAACAATACAGATAAGTATAAAATAAAGAGCCACACATTAGTTCATATTGATAATAAGAAAATCAAACATCGAGTAGTTTCTTATCATAAAACAATGAGTATATAGCTAATAAATAGCTATCAACTGAAGTGGCGATATCTTATGAAGTATGCGGAAGACTTATTTTGCAAAACAAAAATTAAATACACTATAAATAAAGATAAAATTTAGTGCTTTCACATAGAGTTCGTAGCGTAGGCGTAATTATATATATTACAATGTACATAAGACGACGCGAATTCTCGAATCTCTTACTACGCACTTTCTGTAGGTACATACACGCAATTCCTCTCAACGGTACACGTGTCCCTAACTCTCAAACGACAGAACCGATTTGGATAAAATTTGTATGTACCTATATTTTAATAATGGTTTGAATTCACAATGGCAAACGGTAGGTGACGCTGCTTTTCCGGGCAGGCCGATTGCCTGTATATTTTTATCATTTGTAGGCTACCTGCGGCTAGTGATGGAAAGAATTTAGTTTATAAATAATTTATGTGTAAGAAAAGTCATGAATGCTTTTAATTTAAACTTTATTGTAGTTTCACAATAGTGATATCGACAATACACTGAGATACTCTGCAATTATAATTTAAGTACAGTTTCACAGCTTTTGATAATTACAATTTTCTGACAACATATACATTTAACTATTTGTTCACAAGTCAATTCCATTTAATTTAGTGAAAAAATATTCATTTTGCCAAAAAATAGATTTATCCATTCTTAAATGAAAATATTATAATCGCTCTGATTTACATATATTGATCATCTAATGCAAAAAATAAACATTTGTATCTATTTTAATGTTTTGTACCAATTTGCTGTTTTAACTGCTAGTAACCGGAATTCTACTTATTGAAACGACGGCAGTGTCTCTTTTTTTAAACAACCATCTAGACACCTAGTAAATTAATATGCTGAGACTGGCGTGGGATCTTAAATGCATAAGTAAGAGAAAAGGCAGTGACGTGTATATTTTGTGACGTTGACTTAATAACTAATGCCATCCATTGCGACAAAATCTAACAAAACAGCAAGTACTATAAATGGCTAATGTGAACCATGTGTCTGCGAATGTGGGCGTGGCCTGAGAGGATTGTGTTTTTGTTTTATCAAATTTGGTCGCTATGGACTTTCTTATGTAGACAAAAGTTAGAAGTGAGTCGGTGGATATCCTTAGGTGCTCATAAAAAACATCTACAGATATTGAAAATATATGAGAATAGTTAAAGGTTTTATGTTAGTTTTTTTCTTAATTCCTTTTTTCAAATTTAAATTATATTATTCATTCATTCAAACTGAATTATACCATCAATAAGTATCAATAATAGTACCGTCTCTACTAATATAAAATCTCTCGTAAATACAAAAGTGAGTCAACGTCCTACGCATGTTATATTATTTTTACCAAATCCATTTAAAATGAAATAAGTAGTTAATTCATAATTATTAACTGGAATGATGAATTAAATATAGATCGGTTAATATGAACAGAATTTTTCTTTAATTTTTAAATTTTCTCAGATCTTAAAATTCATATGGCTCCAAGAAACAGATAAATGAACTCACTTTCACTTTAGGTGGCACCATAACACATATTTAAATGTCCGTTAAAAATTACATACAAAAATCAAGCGTTTAAACACCTATTTCAGTAACGGAGAGACAAATTAAGCGTATACCAACCGTAACGTAAGGTTAATCGTGCAGAGCACATAGTAACAATTTAATAGCAACCTCTACTGGGAGCATTCTGTACAAATTACGCTATGAATGCGCTCATGTCCAGTTGCGGCTGACATGTTTGTTTGTTGTTAATAATTCTAGTTAGAAACAAATTGAAATCGATAATTTAGAAATCTGAATATGTAATTGAAATTCAGATGTTTGTTACATCTGAATTTCATTGTTTATTACAAATAGATTCCAGTATTGTGAATTTTTATGTGTTTTAAGAGTTTTTAAATATTACATAATAGTTGAAAGTTGTCTGTAACTATTAAAGCAACTTAACAACATGCCAGCATTATAACTGTATCGGTAAACAAATTAACTATACAGAAGTGATATACAGCAACTAGTGAAATCGCATTGTAAAATATGATAAAAACGATAATAGAATTAACGACAAATTATTGAATGACAGTTGCATCTATTTAACAGTATCTCATTTATTTTATCACAATACGAAACAATGAATTGTTTATATGGATTTTATTTATTATTTGCTCTATTAATAACTTGAAAATAAAGAAAGCTTTGTGACTATTCATATTATGAAATACGAATCAGTTACATTTTTCATTAGGTTTTGTATTATGCCAAAATAAAAATAAATAGTTATTAAAATTTCTTATTGTTGTACTGAAAATGCATATGCAAATTTGGGATGTGACACGTATGTTGCTAAAAACAAAATTCGAAACATTTCTTTTCACTATGGTCAAAACATCTACAATCTACCTAGTTAGGACTAGATCTAAATCTATTTTAATTCGTCTCAGTCCCTTGGTTTAACACGTTGATCGCTATTATGAAAGTATTATTATGAAAATTTCTCTTATTCTACATAATAACAGTTAAAAGCCTCATTGCATAACAAGATGCATTAACATTCAGCTTAACTTTTGACATCATTCTATTGTTAGCTTAAATATCAGGCACATTTCAACTATATAAACATTATTCTCTACATATCTCATGTAGATAGGAGCAATTGCCGTGCTGTGGTCTCACCCCTAAGAAGGGCGTGAGAATTAATAATTAACATTAACAAGAATAACTGGGAATATTAAGTGTTATACGAAATAGAGCTATAAAGATAAGGTAACATTGCCTTGTATTTTCTATTACATTATGATATATGACATTTTAAAGGGATCCATAATCATGTAGGTGATAACATACGATACTGAATTAATATCGATAATAACAGTGATTGAAGGTGGTGGGCCGTATAGAATAAACGCTTAAAATCTAGAAACTGATTTGATTTCTTATATCCAATTAACCCATATTTTTTTAATCCATCTGATCAATTTAACCATACCATAAGCACCGCTATAATTTGCACAATGTATACACACACGAGTAAACGATATCTGAAAATTGAGATAGAACGAGACGGCAAACTTCCACGTTTTTTCTCTCTCACGCATTAAGTAAGTACTAAATATAGTAAAGAAAACGTGTCTGTCTGCACAGGCTAACTCTTTGGTCATGTACATTTATACGAGTTACATACAAATGACCTATGTGCAGCAGTGGACTGATGATGATGATGACATACAAATACTCATCCAAGTATCACATTTGTTTGCATACAATGTATATAATTATGGTTATTCTATTCGACATACCACCTTTTATTTCTATGTGAATAGTTTTAACAAGGATTTCAACTTATTTTATTTACAAACCTTAACAATTCGACAATTTGTATCTTATTTGAATATGAATATAGATTAGAACATATCGAGAATTATCCCAATGGGAATTCACAAAGGAAAATTAGTAGCATAAGCAAGGAGTTACCTTGAAATACAAATATAAGAATATACGTATTATTATTAAATTAATGTGTTCTATGATAAATAATAGGTATAATTTAATTTAGTTTCCTTTACACAGAGATTTCCTTTAAAATCGTTATATCAATTAAAAATTACTAAAGTATATATACTATTTTATATGTAAGTTGACGTAGGAAGCAAATAACATATCATTTTTCGGCATTAAAAGTAACAGCATTTTAAAATTGTAACGAATTACATCATTTATATGTTAGTATCATTATGATTCGAATGATTCACAGGCTTTATTCCATTTTTTTAGCGATACATATAAATCATACTCTGCCCAATTAGATTTTAAATTTCTAAATTCTCTAATCACTACCAAAATGGAAGCATCCTCTTTGTGATATGGTGTTATAGTTCCCATTGAGCAACCGAATATTTCACCTTAGAACGTCGAGATTACATTCTAGAAACAAAATCAGTCAATACTTTAAATCTGAGGTCTGTTAACTATATTTTATTTTTTCCTACTCGTTTCTGTTTAATTCAAATAGTTTATTTATAATATGGTACTATATTATTTGTTACAGAAAAAAGCTTTAAATAGGCAAAGAGTTTAGCATTAAATAAAAATAAATTATTTTTGCTCGTTCACTGGTCTATATCTATCACAATTAAAATATTTATTCCGAGATTCGAGATAACACACTGCTAAGATGCAGTAAGATAGATCACAGTTATAGACAAAGCACTTGTACTGGAGTCTCAATAGTTTACAGATAGCGTATAGTATTAAAAGGGAGGCCATCTCCACTCTTTTAAGATTATCAATTTGATTAGACAAAGTTGAAAAATTTAATGAATTTTCATCAGTACCATAAAGAACATAACTTCTTCACTTAATATAGGCAATAGCAAAGAACTCTATGAAGTATTTTTATAAGAAATAACATTATTACTTGAGTTAATGCATATTCTAAGAAATGTAAGATGTTTATGGCAGTGCGGTCGATTCTAAAGTGTCATTGGTTAAATTCATCTCGAAAATTAACATTAAATTAACAAGTACGAATTGAAACTATGTGAACGAAATCTACAAAAAAATATTCTAAATTTAGTCCATCCTCGCCAATAAAGTTATTATTTCTATTTAGTATTAATCAAGCACAAATTACAATATCAATATTAAGTTTTCAAGAGCGGCACTTCAGAATCGCACCAATGTTTGGGCCCATAAGGCAATAATTTCAAAATGAGCATTGTACAGAATTCTTGATGAATGAATAAACCTACAATTAAAACATCACTATCGCCTGTCGCTTGAAGAAACTCAATAATAATTACGTTTAATACAACTGTCGTATGTTGTAAATAAGATATGAATTTGTTTGTTCATTTGACTATAATCGTACATGAAACAATTATCAATGCCGTATTTTTATCAAAGTTGCAAATAATACAATAATGGTTATATGAGTTGGATGAATACGGCAAAGAAATCTTTGTTACGGACTTTCAATGGCAGAATTAATAATTAAATAATCAACATAGCTGCTAACTTAGCAGGAGATTAACGATGTTATTTTTTTATCGGAATGGCCTTACAAAAGCAGACATACTTTCATTTTTCACAGCTACAAAATCATGACAATAATGATGACACAATAATTTATGATTTAGATACGTATTTTTACTAAATATTGTCGTGAAATCTTATATAATTGAGATTATCAAATTCTCTCTCTCTAAAAAAACACAGACCGTGATATCCAATATATATTTGGATAAAAATAAATGCCACAGTCGTACGACTAGTTAAAGCGAATTAGAACCGCCAATAACAATTAAAATTAAGACTTGAGGTGTCTCAATATCATAGTGACGAATGACTTGTAAGAGATCACATTTGCAGGAAAAAATCAATCATGTAAAGTATTAAAGTTAATAGAATCTGTCAAAATAATAACAAATTCATAATTATTACCAAGTCTTAGAAATAAACTCGGCTATTACACACCACTTGATATTTAAGACAAATTTCAAAAATCAGTCACAATTATTATATAAAAAAAAATCAACGTCGAAAATAAACTCGACCATAAAAAATAATAGAAACAAACTTACATAACCAACTTAATACGAAATAAATACTGTAAGTACTATGAATAAATGTTAACATAGTGCCAGGCTGCAATGCGCCGGTCGACTAAAAACTTTGGTGCAAGTACCTTCCGCTCGCAGTCCCAGGGGTTATGGCCAACAGTTCGATTCCCGTTATAATATAGGACTAGCATGGAATTCGTTTACGATTCGCCATAAGGCATCAGGCTTCATTCTGTTACGTTCGCTTCTATCTGAAATTAGATATACAACTATTAGGTCCTATACCAAGTAAAAGTAATTAGAATTTCTAACGACTAAAACAAACTATGCTACATTGAACCACCAAAGGTAGAATTCCATGTGGCATTATTTGGTTATATTCTCTGACGTATTTATTAAACAAATTAGTTGCTAATAATTTTATAATTAATCTCTAGAAGCCGATAATTTCATAGTAAAGTATGATAATTACAAAATTTACAGAATTATTATTATTATTAGAAATAAAGTAAAATATTGAATGAACAAAGGTCTTTTTGACGTAAGCTTAAGATTGTATGAAAAGAAAATAAATACATCGATCGCCGCCCGCGCGCGCGTCCACCACCACCAGCGCCGGCCGCCCGGACACTGACCTTCACCAGTAGGTGTGCAGGCGGAGGCAGTCGCCGGCGAGGTCCGCGAGGAGCGCGCGGCGCGCGGGCAGCAGCGCGAGGCCGGCGAGGCCGGCGAGGCGGCGCGGGCGGCGCTCGGCCAGCTCGGCGGCCGCCAGCACGCCGCCCGCGCGCGCGTCCACCACCACCAGCGCCGGCCGCCCGGACACTGACCTTCACCAGTAGGTGTGCAGGCGGAGGCAGTCGCCGGCGAGGTCCGCGAGGAGCGCGCGGCGCGCGGGCAGCAGCGCGAGGCCGGCGAGGCGGCGCGGGCGGCGCTCGGCCAGCTCGGCGGCCGCCAGCACGCCGCCCGCGCGCGCGTCCACCACCACCAGCGCCGGCCGCCCGCGCACCGACCGCGCGCACACCACGCGCGCGCCCCCCGCCTCGATTGCGATGCCGCCGTACCCGCCGCGACCTGCGTCGATTGATACCGACGCTCTTTTTAGATTCTCTAGGTTTGGACATCTGGATGGATCTTAATAGGACTGACATAGATCGATGGTCATCTCGAAATCTTTCAATTTCCTGAAAGGATGTGAAAGTTTGTATAATCATGGTACAAAGTCGCTTTTACAAGATTTTTTTTAAGCCGTGGTCTGACGACGACGATCTGCCACGGTAATGCCGATACACCAGTCCCATCGGTCAATCTTTCTTCATGAAGGTGGACAGTATGTTGGCGGAGACACAAACGCTTTGAACCTCGTGTTCGGCCCCAATTCCAGCTGCGTCACCCTCAGGTTCAGTTTATTCTTGGTCCGGATATAGTCGACGATGTCTTTTTCTTTGGTGACGTAGTGTAGGCGGGACAGTACAATAACGCAACTAGAAGTTGGGCCCAGTCGGTATAGTCGATTGATCCTCTTTTTCTCGTCTTTTTTCACACTCTTTTGTACCATCATAAAATCATATTTTCACGTTTAGCAGACTTAGCAATCACAGGGGTAATGTTTAGAGCCATTTTAGGCTTATAACCTTAATAATATACCACATTATAGTGTTTATACAAACTTTCATCTTTATCGTGTTAATTATTTGAACTGAACATCAATGTATGTCTTCTGACCTCCTCAATGACATTAAGATCCACTGAGTTTCATAAGGTTGAAAATTTCGAGTAAAGAGTTCTTCCATTCCGTAAATAAATAAATGAAATAAATAATGGAAATTTTACAAATATAAACTAAATATATAGTCGTGTAGAATAAAAACATTCTATTAAAATACTTAACAACCAATAATTTTATATAAAAACAATAGTGTGTATTCCTGTGTCATTCAGTATCATATCCTTACTTAAGTAGCATCCAAAATACTTTTAGATGTATATATCAAGTTTAGTAATGTTCACAAACCTTTTGGCAGTTGAGCAAAAACATTTTTTAGGTTTCCCTCCAAGTCGTAGATTCGTATTGCAACATCCGCCACAATTAGCATGTCCTCCGACAAAGCCAGACCCCCGACAAGACCCAGTTCACCACCTCCCACCTGTAATAAAAAACATTTAAACACACTTAGTAATATGTAATATTATACCTAGCTAACTTATTCAGGCAGGCAGTTTACTGAAATGATCTGCATTATTTTTATCCCTATATTTTTTACATTTTTCGTCGCAACTCTACTAACTACTAACTATTGATCGTAGCGTGATCTTAAATAACCTAAGCCTTCCGCGGTAAATTGGCTATCTAACACTAAGAATATTCAAAATCAGATCCGTAGTACTGGAAATTACCACAAACATCCAAATTTACACTCTTTTCAAACTTATTTAATTTCATTCAAATAATTAACTAGCTGTGCCCATGACTACGTTCGTGGCACACGCAACGGAAGCTCTCAAATATGAATAATTTTCTCCGTTTTTGCAACATATTTACTGATGTTTCAGTAGTTCCTGAGATTAGAGCGTTCAAATAAATAAACAAACAAACTCTTCAGCTTTATAATATTAAGTATATAGATTATTATATAATTGGTATATACCTATTCTTTATATTCATTAAGGTACATTTACAGTACAACGATCAATACAACAGATATGCTAATATCTATAATGTCAAGGGATTAATACCCGCCATAATCAAAATATTACATCAAACAAATAACTTAGCGATAAAATATTATTGAGCTAGACAACAAAAAAAATAAAACGTATGACATTACATTCTAGACATTATGTCTAGAACTCTAGAATAACATATCAGAGGTAGACTTTAAAACGCAGATCCCACATCTGCGAAGTTTTAAAGTATGCTAGTCTCATCTACGTATTTCAGCTGCGATGCAACTTTTGTGTAAGCTGAGTCGCGATTATAGGGGGCACTTAGGCAGTGAAATTATAGTATGAAGACTAAGATGTCATGCCTCATTTTAATCCTCTAACTGAACGAACGAATGGCACCGCATAAGTGGTGTCACGGGTGTCCGATAACGTGATGTCCATAGTGCTGTTAATGTATGTAGGCGACGGTTACCGCTTACCAACAGGTGGCTATCAGGTTCTGTGCCAATTACATAAAAAGATAAAACGAAGTAACGTAATACAATAATAATAATAATAAATAAAAATATAACTAGTAATAACATAAATAAATAGAGATTTGTCTGACAATTGTTATTGATATTAAGATGAGAATTTTATTTCCATAAAAATATGTTAATTTTTATTAAAAATATGTTAATTTATATTATGTTAATTTTTTTTGCATCCTGTTCACATACGCTGAACCTGGTTCTATCGACGCCTTTGATTAAGTACCATTCAAATGTTATTTTATGTAATTTCACTGGCAGCAATAAACGATTCTTATTTTTTGTCTACCTATCTTTTATTTATGATTGCTATTAGTGATAAAGTAGTAGAGCTGGTTAAATGCGGAGGTCTTATTACATGCGTCCTCGCGTATGCCCCTGGGCTACACCTAAAAATCTGTGGTTTACTGCTCCAAGAATCAATAAATACATTGAAGTACTCTGCCTTTTTTGTGTAATGCGATGCACACTCACTACGTTTTTTTGTACCTATATAGCATATTCTTATCTGACTAATGTACTTATGTACAGTAATCCCACTTAGAACATAGTACAGTATTTATAACGCATTTTCATATTATGCGATTTCAATCCCATATATAATCCCATATTCCCCCATATAAGCGGGTATTTCCCACATTGTTTCTGTACTGTGAAATAATGATATGTACAGTTTATAATTAATTTCGCACATGTGTGCAGGTGTGTCACTTGTGTTGTTATAAAATTAAATTATTTTATTAAATGTGTGTATTGAAAAGTGTAGAAATTAATTTTTATGTTTATTTTAAATAACATCTGATTTAATCCCCTTTAGCGAGAAAAGTGAAACGTGAATAGTTCGTATGTAACGCGTTATACAGGGTCGTAAAAACCGTGTTATTGTGGATTACTGTATTTACTTTTTTCTTTATATACCGAATAGTTCTTCATGTAGCTCGTGTGCGTGCCCTCTGACGCAAACAAGTGTTATCTATCTACTTATATATGTACCTCCCGCTCGATGTTGCCGTGGGCATCGAACAGGAAGACTGCTCTGGCGCCGTTGTCAGCGACGGCGACGCGGCGGGAGGCCACGTGAGCCGCCACGCACACCGGCTCCACCAGCCGCTCCGACGACAGCGTGCGGACGGTGCCGCCCTCCGCGTTCACCTGACGACAGACATCACCGATTCGATTTTAAGCTGTTGCGGATTATCGGAAGGGTAGCTATTACTTTATTAGGTCCATCGAGGATACCATTATTATAAATTACTTGGATGAACACTAGCCTATTAAAGATCACCAATGCCTTTATCCATATATTGAAAGGCAATGCATAAGTGCAATTACGAATGACATATACAAATGTGGTGTCCATGGGTGTTCCTTACAGGCCAGGTGGGTCGTCCGCAATTCTACCATTCCAGTTACATAAATAAAGTAGTATATGATAACTACCTCTGTAAGTGTGCGAGTACGCCAATTAACAGCTATAACTCCATCAGCTGTCACCGCTATTCCTGTACAACTCCGCCCGGCTAGACCTGTAAAGCGATTATGACATGTTTAATTCCTTTAAGTCGAATATCAACTATTTATAAATTAAATTAAATATACGTGTATTTCTATACCTTCATTAACTATATGGGTTTTAAATGCAAACGTCTCGTCATCCAACACTTTGACTCTCGAATTACCCGCATCAAGTACGTATATTTCCCGTCGTTTCGGACACCTGTGAAAATAATTAATACCATATTAGTTTAAAAAATATAAAGTACTTCGAAATTTTAACTTTACAATGGTCACATGTAGAGTCTCATGGCAAACCAAACCTGTGCACAACAAATATCTGCAGATTTTGACAAACTGAAGAGGAAACTCCATTATACATACTATGTGGTTATAGCCTACTCATGCATGAACAAAATATCTCCTTTGGAAAGTTTACACTCTATCATGAGGAGATAAAATCCATCGCTAACAACCTACCTAACCTAACCTAAGAATATCCTTGAATTTGTCCCTAAGGGGTTTAGGTAGCGAACTCTGAAAAAGGGCAAGCACAATAGATGTATGTAGGTCGTACAAGTGGTACGTACGAATCCTTAGACTTGTACCACAATCATGTGGTGGTACCAAATGTATGTGGTACAAGTCTAAGCGCCTAATAAACCCCCCAATAAAAAAGCGAGTGTCGTGGAGTCCTTAATTAACAGCAGAGTGTTGTTTAGTGTTTAGGGCTACCCCTACCTGGCGAGTGCAACGGGCTGCGTGAGGTGTTCCTTGCCGGTGCCCCGGGAGCCCCACACCAGCAGCGGCGCGGCGGCGGGCAGGGCCCGAGCCCTCAGCGGGGAGTCGCGCACGGCTCGCGAGAACACCAGCACGCGCACGCACACCGCGCCCGCACTCCACGGACGCATACTAATCCTGTATCACAGCACGCCAGTCAATACATTTTCTTGCCTTGATTAATTTATTTGATCTTTGTTGTCCTCATGAGTATTTTTCAAAATCAAAACCGGAGATATCCAGGAATAGATATATAGGTATACAGTTACCACTCAACATCAGATGAGCCATCAGCTTGTATGTATTTTACTTATATACAAAAATAAATTGTGTTGTGTTGCGTTATTGCTGTATTACACTAGTAATGATCGATGCAAATAAACTAGAGAAGTATTTTTTAGAAGAAGTTCGCACGGTGGTACAATGGATTTTATGTGTAACGTTTTATTTCTGTACCACCTTTAGATGTTATTTGCAACAGAATATTTTATTAATTTGTGAGCCACCATGCTGGTAGTTAAATATTCCTCTAGTTTGTGTTGCCTTGCAGTAGTTGTGATAATCTTCTATACAAGTATTATATATTAATTAGGACATGTTTAGGGCATGTCTGTCATAATAATTTCGTATTTTAATACTAAAATTGAAACATGATGTCACATCACCCAAGACCCTATCCCATATTACTTTATTATTAATGTTTCAATATGTACAGTACTAAAAATGTAACGCTAGATGTTCACAATAAATAAACATTATTTTATATAAAAAACTTTGTTGATGTTTTGCGTAATAAGAGACACTTTCATGCCAACCTGTTACGTTTGTATTTTGTCGTAACGTTTATATTAATAATTTTGTATATACTCACATTCGACCTATTTATAAAAAGAAGTCATTGACAGCAGAAAAACAGCGGCGTTGCCTAAGATGAAAAAGTTACCATTGACTTTTATATAAATTTGTTGATGTGAGAGAACATCGTATGATGAAGAGAAAATAGCGACAAGAAAAGAAAAAAAAAACAGACGCTTGAAAACATACTGTTGAACACGCCGGCTCCATCGGCATCCAGAAATACGTCCTCATTCTGCAACACCAACTAATTCAGAAGTGTCTAGCTCAAGAGGGAGGAAGAGAGTGAAAAGAGATAGAACACAGAGAAGTTATAAAGAGAGAATATTAGTTTAAAAGATAAAATAGAAGAATTAGAGAGGAAAGTTCAAAAATACAAGAAAAGCTTGCACAGAAATTCCAAAAAAGATAGCAATAGCAAAGATGAAAAGAACAGTAAGAATGAAAACAAATATAGTGTCCTTTCCAATGTCATTAAAGAATGATACCAAACTTGCATTTTTTTAATATATAGGCGGAATCAGTGTATGGTAAGGTGGTGATAAGTATGAACGAGTTACCTGTAGAGTCCAGTGTCCAGGTCAGTAACGGTGCAGGCGAGCGGCGAATCGTCGAGCGTGGCGGCGGCCGTCACGGGGTCTCCGCCCGTACTACGAGCCTCCCCGTGGTAATCCACCGTCCGCAGTACCACCACCACTTCCAATCCGCACACGCACTGCGATTCTGATACCATACAAATATATATCGTGAGAAAGTCACATTGTAAATAATATTCCTGGACAATTCACACAACGGCATTTAGTCCCAAGCTAAATAGCTATGTGTACTAGATAACTGATATAAAATCGTTTGTGATTGGAAACTCGTTACATGTTTTTATTGTCACTTTTGCTGTTCATAACTACATTAAAAGTTTTATTCATTCATCTCACACATACAGTCCACACATAGTAAACACCTAGACCGATAGAAACAGTTCGATTAAATACAACTGTTTGCACAGTCCAAGAGATCGAACCTGCGACTTATGGATGTAAAACGGTGTGCTACTGCTACACCACTGAGGCCGTCGTTGTAATATACTATAATAGCAAACATAAATGTAACCTTTATTTAAATAAATTTAATGTATGTACTTTTTAATGGTATTTATTTTTCATTCTAGTCAATTAAAAATGTATGTTCAGGATTATAACAGATGAAATCTCTCAGAATATCATGAATAGTTCAACCATTTCAGTAAATTGTTGCATTTACATAGTCAGTTATTACTGTAAATGCGTAATTTTGCATCAGTAATATGTTATCTCCTTTTAACACTAAGTCATAAAAATATACAAGTTCAGGCACAGTAAACGAGAGATAAAATATATTTTTAAGATAACTGTCATTTGATCATTTAAATGTCATCAATTTTATACATTAGGTACAGCATGATGAAACGACAAATATTTCATTTAAATATCGAGCAAATTAAACTTTATACGTAAATGTGAATTTAAAATACGTACTAAAATTTTAAGGTTTCAGTTACTAAGAATTAAATACCATATATTGGTATAACAAAGACGCGAGTTGTTTACACCTCCCGTCTTTGTCAATAATAAAAAACGATTTCTTCTCCAATAAATACGGATTTAAAAATCATCATATAATAAACAAATAAATGAACAATAAAAAAACCACGAGTATCTCCTAATCGAAACTGGTTGAAACATTAGATAATATTGGTTGTCTTATTAAACTCACCTAACTGCAATGTACAGAGTCCAGGGAAAGTGGTACTGGTTCGAACTCTGCCTAAGTCTGTCAAGGCCTCCGCGAACCTTTGCTGAGCATCGTTGTGACCAAAGTCTACTGCGAGGAAAGCGTTCTCCCTTGGCTCAGCAAGAGCGGCCGCGTCGCCGAGTCTCGCACCTAGTGCTGCCGCCCGACTACTGACCTCTCGCACCTCTACTTGTTGCTGAAGACCAGAACATTCTGCTTCGACCTGCATTTTATATAGCCTTTGAAAATGGTACTAATTTAGAAAAAATTAATAAAAATAAGGGTACACAAAAATTACATTATTTGATTTATATAATATTTATTATATACAGATCATTCAAACATTACAACTTATTAAGCATTGTTAAAAGTAAATAAAGTAAAATATATTCAATTTAGTAAAAAAAGATACTTAGATAATGAAACCACTATGAGCCGCAAAAATATAGTAATATGTAATAAAGAATAAACTGTTGTGGTTACGATATAAGTAAGTAGTTCTAATGGTTTTGTATGATGTTTTATTGTCTGATAAGAGAAGAATGGAGAGAAATTAATGAATACTTTACTAAGGAAAATATTTCTTCCTATCAACTTTAAATTGTTAACTTTTAATTATTGGAAACAAAAGTTGTTTCCAATACTGGAGTGGAGTGACGGAAACAAAAGTCATCACGGAAACAGAAGTATATATAAATGATATCTACCTTTGATTTTTCCGCATCAATTAACTTCAATTGTTCTTCGAGCAACTTCCGCTTATGAGCAGCAGCGGCTGCAGCGGCCGATTTCAGTTCAGTGTGACGTTTATCCAACGCAGCTCTGAGCTCTGCGAAATGTCTGTCAATAGCTTCGTCGGCCGCTGTCGCAGCCGCCTCCAGCCTCCTCAATTCACTAGCGACCGCTTCCCTTGCCGAACCAAGCTTGCTGAGGCACTCATTCGCTCTATACAATAATATTTCAGACATTCTCTTTAAAGCTATAGAAAATGGTACGACGGTATGATCACATGGGGTGTCACTGTGAGGTCCATCCGCGCAGTGTCGACAGAACACACAATCACACGTTTCGCAGAATAACAACTCTCTTCCTGGGTGGGAGCTACACTGTGGTATCACTTCGCGACGTTGCCGCGCCATCAGATCTAGTAGTTGGTTCACGAGGAACGACGGCGGTAAGGCTGGCACTCCGCCCCGAGGTATTGTAATTAGTTCGCGGCATATCGGACATCTAAAGCATCCAGCATCTCTTGTCTGTGAGGCGGCTATACGAGTAAGGCAATGTAAGCAGACAGTATGCGAACAAGGTAGAAGTTTCGGCGTATGTTCTCCACCATCATAAGTGCCTGAAAAGAATTGAAAAATATTTATAATATAGCATGTTTTTATTACTTTTTACATAATTTTTGATTACATCTCATAGCAAAACACTGATTACATCTCAAAGCTAAGCTAAATATGCATTACATTTAACTAATATTATAGAAAAAACGAATGATTAAAATGAAATTCTGGTATATCCAATTCATACTACTATATAGAGAATATCGACAGATTTGAGTAATGCAGAAAAAGCATGAAAATAGAATGATGCTGCCCAAATGCATTCTTCGTGTAGTACATAGTAGTAATTACAATGGTAAGAGATAGTGACAAATAATATGATCAAAGGTAAGGCTTAATATACAACATATACAGAACATATTCAATTTATGATACAGAAAAGACTGGTCATAATATTCATATAGAACTGACAAATTAAGTAAGTGATTTTGATATGCCAGAAGTAACCCGGTCTAAGGTTTAGCCTATTTTGGGCTGCCTTTCTATGACAATATTTATTTTTTAAAGTTGTTATGAAGACAAGCATTCTTTATTTCGTTACAAGTATTGCTCTTTAACTAACATTAGTTTTATATAGCAATGGTACTTTTTGCACACATAAAACAATGTGTAGATATAAATATATTTAGTCCCTTCTTTATTTTAATACAATATGATATAGACAGAGTTGTTTTTATTCTAAAGAAACTATATTTATCTATTTTTGATATAATAATTTTGCATAACAGCACAGATAAAATAATAGTTTCTGAAGATGTTGTTTAGCCTTCAATTGATATCTATGCCTCTTAACATAATAATATTGTGTAAGGGCTGTACATATATTTTGAAAATGGGCAATCAATAACTATTGACATATATTGGATTGATGTGGTACACCACTATCTTATGACACTATAGAATATCAAAATATAAGCATAAAGCAATATAACGGTTTAAATAAAACATGCTTAACAATAAACTGCAATAAATAACAAACACCAATTTTAAGAAATCAACTTTATTACTGAAAATTTAAAGTCAATAATCCCACAATTTTGAATTCTTGAGTTATATGCAGTTTATTACTGAGCTTTCCATATGCGCTTGTATACTGTTTTATAAGTAGTCTAAATGTGTACTAACATAAACATGTGCCGCAGGTGAGGAAGCTTTCGTTAAAGTCCTCATAGTTGATGGAGACGGTTTCGACGAGCGTGGAACTCATGCTCGCCATCCCGACGCCCAGCCGTGAACTGTTTATGTATAACAGTAGTACATATTACATTAATTACATTGTAGTTCCTGTTAAGCATACACCATTATTTAATAATAATTTCTTTATGAGGAAAAGAAGTAACTCAATTGCTGGAAACTGAAAATTTATGTGTTACTCATTCCTATCTTATATTTACTACATTTATTTTATAAATATAGATGTACTATTTAAAGAATATTTATCAAATATATAATTATTATTAATAATATTCGTAGATTGGTCAACCTAAATATTGTTACATATTGGTATAAGAAAGAAATATTAAAGTCTTAATGTTTCTTTCAGGGTTGTATGAAAAATTAAAAAATATTCAATGATTTACATATTATATTGAATTATGAAATTAAATTGACTTTTCAATATAGTTACCAAATAAAGCTAATCACAATATTGGAATGAATTATATTTGTATTTAAAAATATATTATGAAAAAAATAATAACATAAACAATAAATAAATGTTATTTAATTTATAGGTAAACTATCAACATTACATTTAACATTATGATAACCGGTCTTTACAACTCCATCTAAGATGGTGACATCATCACATTTTATTGTATGAAATTATTATGCTGTAAACAACAAACCCATATACTATACATACTGAATTAATATATTACTTAGGTATTTATAATTACTTAAGTTGCAATAAATAATGTTTGTTTTTATATTCTTATTTCTTATTTACAGCATAAAAATAACTAGCTTCTCAAGCAGATGAAATAAACCACAACAAATAAGAATTAAGTTACTTATAGTATATTCTTTTCTAATTAACTTCTTCACAAGTGACAAACATTTAGAAACTCCAATACTACGGAGTTTCTAAATGTAAAGTAATAAAATTTAAAGCTAGATATAATGAGTTTAAAGTCACCACATTGGGTGGTCTCTGTAATCAATATTGTTGTAAACAATATTAATCAGTAATAATTCAGTACTAAGGTTTGTTTTAGGGCACATAGTCTCACTAGTTGAATGCCAAAATTGGGTGGCTACTGCTCTGACAATATGTACCCAATGCTTGTTTAATTCCATATGTGAATTGCTGTTAAAATTTTATCCACATGTTTTAATTAATAATTGCATTCAAAATTTAATCAAAATCTTAATTTATACATCCAGTTTATACCCAAATTAGTCAATTCTTCTAAATACAATTAAAACAATATTAGGTTCAGTTTCCACTTTCATAGTTTTATTTTCTAAATTGAATAAACATAAATAGTGGTGTATTCAATGGTCAAGGTCAGGCATGATGCATTCGAGTATATTCACAAAATAAAAAAGAAAATTATGACCACTTTCTACTGTTCTAAAAATTTTATGATTTAACTTTAACAAAAAAAAAGTGCATGGGTGTATAGGATAGTATAAGCATGAAAGAATAAATGGGTGTAAATACTCACAGAAAAGAACAACAATACATGGACGTGATATCAAAGACAGGTCACAGAGACTGGTCAGTTTGTTCTCATATTATGTGTCGTATCGTGTATTCGTACTCACTTCATTACATTACAGTGTTTTAATTTTTATATAATTTTGATTGTGCGATTATATGAAATAGTGAACGTAAACACATAGTAACACGTTAGCAAATTTATCACTCACGAAAAGATGGTTAATTTATGACTTGCTTTTATTTGTTTGTGAAGTAAGCACGATTAATATACGTTTTATATAATCTTCAAAACATATCCATGTTCCACATAATATATTTTATGTAGTTTTTCGTAATCGATCGATAATAATATAGGAAAACTATTCTTGTGACAAAGGATTTACACTAAAATGTTTTGTTACGATTTAATATAATTACATTGATAACGCAGCAGTGGATTTAAATTATATTTGCAAATAATTTAAGGTATTCACATTGTTTAATATTTTCTATTTAGGTACACTAAGAATGTTATATTATTTTTGTCGTCCATTAACCTTTACTTTTTTTTTAAATAAGCTTTAAAGGCTCGGGATTCTAACTGATTAGTATTGTATTAAAGTTGAAACATCAACAAGTTGCCATTAACAAAAGTTTTTGTTGGAGACAAAGGCTGTTTTATTTAACAAACAACGACATAACTATAGCAATTATGTATTAATTTATAATTGCAGTTATAAGTAGGTTTGTATAAAATTGCAAACCTGTCGATATTATTGTCACAATTGTGTGCCCAGTAAATGTGTCACATTATTTCAGAATACAACCGCTAACATTGTTTAGTCTTTTGAAATAACCATCGCGAATGGAATTTCGATACGTTATTTATGCATATATATTATACAAATCAATCCATAAATAGATACGTATATATTCAAGTAAATCGTAATACTAACGCCATCTGTATTGCATGTAGGTACTTTTGAATTACGGATACAAAGCAAACCAAACATTTATACAAGGTCAAACAAATTGAAGATATTACCGAAAGATTATATTTGAATGAGCTAATAATACATCGCACGCTTTAAAATATAGTGACAGAGGTATCGTGTTGTGCACTAGACGTCAAAATGGCAAAGTGGTTACTTGATAGAAAACTTATCTTTCGGTAAGAATATTACAGTTTGCTAATGAACAACAGATTATTATAGAAATTAGGTAGTTGTAGTTAATGAGCAAATAACCACTGTAACTAAGCAATGTACCAACCTGTTTAGCTTGACCTCCACGCGGTTCCTATGGAAATTATCGTGGTCAAATTTTAGAGAATTCGCCAATCGTCATCATATCATCCTCGACTAGTGCTCTGCAAGCACATATCGTTAGCGCAGCGAGATGTACCGTTCTATGTTCATTCATAATTTTTTTTAGAATACAACTTCAGCGCACGTATTCGTCGCAGCCAAAGCCTTATGAATCTATACCAGGATTATCTTCTATACCTATATTGGGGTCCTTGCACCACTTTTTGCCGGTGATCGGTTAGTACCTGCGTTATCATTAGTTAATCATTAGTGTTGTTTTAAATTTCATTTTACATAATTAACTAATCCTTATCATAATATGATAATAAAGATATCAATTTTTTTCCGCTAGTTACTTATTAATGCAAAATGAAAATATTAAGGACCGAAGGTCATATTTTATTTTTATTTAATGGAGTGCGGTAATCGTAACAGTAAATTATAGTGTCGTACATTTTTTTTTAAATTATTTTACAATCATTGCACGAAATATAGTGGTATAAATGCTATAGTATATTGAAAACTATATTTAAGGCCGATCCGGCTCGAAGGATTACCCCTCCGATCGATCCCCCGTCCAATTCAAACGGGAATCGAAATTACGACAGCCTGAGCTGAGGTTTGAGCCCCTAGCAGTGGCCACCGAGTAAAAACATATCCGGCAGACGGGAGCTGGCCAGCTTCAGCAGCTCCATAAGTCCTTCTGCGGGTTGCCATTTGCAATCGCCTCCTATCGTCCGGTGAAGCTGTAAAGGTCAGGTGCGGCCACCAGCATTAGAGTAACCCGAAAAAAATGCCAGAAAATTTGGTGTTTTATGTAAAGTAAAAAAAAATACTAAAATACTAGCACCTACTCGCTGTATACTAAATGACTTTCTTTCAATGATAAAATAATTATCTTAAAAGATTTTTCTCATTTCAATTACAGGAACTGTGGGATTACAAAAAAATTTTTTCAACATGGTAGGGATTTTGTATGAAAAATATGGGCCTATAGTAAAGATGGAAGGTATATTGGCTAGAGCCAATATGGTTATTCTATATGAACCAGAACATTTTGATCAGGTGAGATTTTTTACGATTTATGATTGTTTAAACCATATTACTTACCATTCCCAGAAAGGTGGATACCTACCTGATATATGTAGTCAGCTCACCACCACCCACATCATGATGGTTAGTGGTATTCGTCGACTATTTACGAATATACAAGAACAACCAGAGGACTAAAATGTCATGTATTCTTATACAATAATTTCACTGCCAATTTCGTGACTACTTTAAATAGAGTTTTTACTTTTAATAGATTAAGCAAGCTGTTTAATTGCTGATATGAGACTCACGCAATACGACTTTTTACAAAGTCTACTTTGATAAGAAACTACTAAAACTAATTACGTATATGGACTAATATTACTATTAGTATAAGAGAGAAACTCTGGAATCAGTGCACCGTTTTGAGAAATCCATGCACTGTTTACCAAAAGTTGAAGCATTAGGTCACAGATAAGGCACTAATACATTTTCTTGTTCTTAAAACATAACTAAGGTTTACAGAGCGGAAGATAGTAATCCACTGCGACCAGGTTTTGAAACACTGGTGCACTATAGGACAGTTTTAAGGAAATCTACCTTCAATGGTGTCTACGGATTGACCACAGCGTAAGTTTTTTAATAGTGTACGTCATATTGTATCTACAGTATATACAATCTTAAATCTATGTTTGAGTGTATCATAATTATCTAAATAAATTCGATTAGAAAACTTTGAAAGGAAAGTATAGTTCCTATTATCTATAAGGTGGGTCGATAGCTTCATTGTCATTGAAGTTACATAAAAAATAATAAGTCATGGTTTCAAACAAACGCGGTTAAATGTAAACAAGGCTTATAACATTAAAGATTTTTTGAATAGGGCTTGTTCATTATGTATATATAATTGCTTGTTTTCATAACCTGTACATATGGCATTAAGCTCGCCATATTGCACAATTTTTAAAAGTGCAGTAAAGAATAAATAAATAAATATAAAAAAATTGGAGTGTCTGTTCGTAATATTGAAATAACCGTTTTTTACTCCATGCATATGAATATAAATACGGTATATATGTATGCATATGAATATAATATAAGTTATTTTGGTATATATGTACACCAAATTATATTCATATGCATGTAGTAAAAAACGGTTATTTCAATATTTCAAACAGACACTCCAATTTTATTTATATGTATATATAAAGCAGATATAAATTTTTATGTATGTCTGTGCCTTTATACGCTAATCTCAGAAACAGTTTAAACGATTTGAGTGCGATTTTCACTAATGTATCTATAACAAGCTTTCCGTAATATTAAGCATCGGTTTTATTCCAATGAATTCTTTAAAAAAATGCCTTATTGTTTTTACGAAAACCAAGCGTATGTAGTATCGGACACAGCTAGTAAAATCAACATATACATTTACAACTTGTACATATTATTAACAGACAAGATGAGGACTGGCGTCACTTCCGGACTAAAGTTAATCCTGCATTGCTGAAGCCAAAACTTGTAAAATTATATGAACCGTCTCTTGAAGAAATAGCGAAGGAATTGGTAGACAGGTAAATAATGTAATACATGAAGGAATGTTAAAGTTCATTGATCGTTATTTTATTAATTATTATTTAATACATTTTAAAGGTTGATAATACTAAAAGATAAAGAAGATTACTTGGAAAACAATATGGATTTAGAAATGACTAAATGGGCATTAGAGTCGGTGGCATTGGTGGGTTTAGGAAATCGCATTGGCTGTATGGAAGACAATTTAAAAGAAGACCATCCTGGAAGGCAGCTCATTCAATGTTCTAGAGACATGATTGCGCTGGCGTATAAATTGGAATTTTTACCAAGTCTTTGGCAAAAATATTCGACCAAGAATTTCAAGAGATTGGTCAAGACTATGGATTTGCAATGGGAGTAAGTATATACCTTTTCTATTTTTAAATACAATACAGGAATCCCTACTGGATTAACCGTATCAACTACAGAAATAATTAATAATAGTATAATATTGATGAATCCTTAAACAGCACAAAAAAAAATCTATCTGATAAACCTTTTTTATTCACTTACATAAATTATTTTAGTGTTAGTAAAATCTACATCGATCAAGCTAAGAAACAAATAAATGAGCGAGGTCATGATATTGCAGAAGAAGACAAGAGTATCCTGGAAAAACTTTTAGCAATTGATGAAACAGTGGCTCTTATGATGGCAAATGAGATGCTAATGGCTGGGATAGATACGGTAAGTTAAACAGAATATCTAAGTAACTACATCATCATACCCTGCTTTTTCCATGTCAAAATCTCACGCCGCAATTTAGTTTTCAGTTTTGATAATGGTAGAAATAGAAACTATTGCTTACTAAGTACCATTGAGCTTGAAGTATAATGAATATAGAGCAAACAGAGACCCAGAGATAAGGTTTATGAAACTGAACATATACCGATAAGCATACCTAGTGGGAATCTGAACTATTTTTTAGTAACTTCTTATGCCTTCGGTATAAAAGACACACAAATTATTTTAAGACGGCTAAACTATAATTCCATTTCTTAAATAACAATGCCGACACTTGACCAAAGAATATATATCATCTTACTAATGATTTACTATACAAAATACTAATCAAATTTTCTAGAAACTTACAATCCCGCTGGCCGTCAAAAGTCTTCCCTTCCATCCAATAACAAAAATGTACTGTTACCACAGGTGGCTTTCAGTACAACAGCAGTGCTCTATCAATTAGCGACACACCCTGAAGCTCAGAAAAAAGCACGAGAGGAAGCAAGGTCAGGGGCCTCACAGAAGCGATATATTAGAGCATGTATGAAAGAATCCCTCAGAATATGGGCAGTAGTTCCAGCTAACTTAAGAAGAACAGGAAAGGACCATGTTGTCGCTGGCTACCATATTCCTAAAGGGGTGAGTTTAAGAAAGTTTTTTTAATTAAATTGTGAATGAGTCAAGTAGTCAGTCAGTATTTTTACTGTTAATTAGAATTTTTTCTAGGCTTGATAAAGCCAGATAAAACAATATAATATTAGGTAATAATTGTTTTGTGCAATATTTATTTTTATGATACATAAATATCTTTTCAATATGATGGAACTACCGAAATTTCTGAAGAGAAAGATCGCAAAGTTACAGTTGATACCAACATATGTAGAGAGCATTATTTGTTCGGAATCCTGGCTGTCCGGTTACTAATTGCATTTTACGGTTTTTATTTTTAATTTCAGATTGAGGTCATAGCTCCAAATGAGTTTATATCTAAATTAGACAAACATTATCCAAGAGCAAAAGAGTTTATACCAGAGAGATGGTTGGTAGATAAGAGCAATCCTCTATATTATGGGAATACCCATCCTATGGTTACTTTACCATTTGGATTCGGCATTAGATCTTGCATTGGGCGTAGAATTGCAGAACTGGAAATTGAAATATTCTTGAGAAAATTCTTAGACAAAGTGGAAGTCAGCTGGGAAGGACCACCAATTGAAGTTGAGACCAAAATAATGAACTCATTTGTGAAACCATACAGATTTAAATTCAAACCACTGTAATGAAAATGTAAATATAATATATATTGTTTTAGAAATAAATCCCACTGGCATATTTAATGTGAAAGTTTATAAATATACTTGAATGTTACATATGCAGATGCGATAACAGTAATTATTATTGTAATAAATATATGAACACAGAAGTATTTGAGTGTGTTTGTGTCACAAACAGTCTAACACTTTTACAAATTTGACATTTACATACAATTTTCAACTGATTTATGTTTAAAATCGATGAACTTATTCATAGGAATATGTTCTGTTATTTAAAATATATATTTATAAATATAAAAGAAATGTTATTAATATATTTTTTATTTTTATATAAGTAATAATAATATTGTCTAAGGACAAAAGACATTAAGAAATTTTTATTTTTATATATATGTTGGTTTTCTATATTTGCATTGTATCCATACCCTGTACATAGTTAACAATTTTCCTCTATTCACTTGGAGTCTCCGATCTATTAAATTCTGTTCTTCTGTAAAACCAGCAGATGTAAACAATGACGCTATCTCATCTTGTGTGAAGAAATAAACCCTGGTATTATCTCCACGAGCATAGAAATTGTCTGATATGCATCGACCTTTTTTGAATCGTAATTGAGCCAAATCATATAAACCATAATCACGAAATACCACCAAACCACCTGGTTTTAAGTATTTATAAATATTATTGATGACTGTTTGCATTCTGTAAAAATAATAAGTTATATTTGAAAATTAACTTCTGAAGAAATTTATATAAATATGAATAACTTAATAAAAATATTATGGAAATGTAATATTAATTTAAAATTTGATCTGATTGATTGAATCAGATTTCCTCAAAATAAATATTAGTGACTAATATTCTCAACGGAACATTAATAATATTTTGGAATGATTTCCCAGAAATTCCTTTGCCAATAGGAAACAGAATATATGAAGCTGTAAGAAACAGCCAACTATTTTTGACATTTCTAATTACATATGTTTTATTTTTACTTACTTGGCTGGATCTATTGCAGATAATACAAATATTAGTACAATTATATCTACAGAATTTTCTTCAAAGGGGACATTCCATTCAGGTTGTGTAGCATCCAATACAAATACATTGCACCTTTCTGTATCATATAATGCATTTTGTTTCATGATATCAACAGCTTTTGATGAGAAATCACAGCCATAAATAAATAAATTTGGATCTTTACTATATTGTAGTATTGGAAAAATAGTATTTCCCACACCACAACCTACTTCAAATATGTATCGTTTATTATCCAGTTTACTTATGTTGCTGTGGGTAGTTTTGTTTTGACAGTTTGGGTATACCCGAACAGGTGCTAATGTATTATCTGGGGCTAATTCCGGAAACTCAGTAAATAACCAGTGCCTGTCTTTAAAGAATCTGTAAATTAATATTTGTAATTATAAATAAGACATACTATGATTTCTACCAAACATAAAAAGGATGGGCAATATGGTACATGTATTTAATTGTGGCAAGGGAAAGCAATAAATAATTAACATATAAATAAGACAAAATGACAAAACATAAGACAAAAACAAAAAAGATATAAACAAAACAAATAGTAAAGATAGGAAAGGATAATAAGGCATATATGAAGTTTCAATAGTAAACTTTTGTTATTTATTATTGTGGTCTCAGCTAAAAAAAAAACTTTGGCTGTTGTAGTTTAAGCTGCACCCATATAATTATGGGCACTGTAGCCTTGCCTTTCTGTGTGGAACTAGTTGTGATGATGAATTCTAAACAAGTTTGTCTTCATAAATAGATACTACGTGATATATACCTATTTTGATGTATATCATAAAATGAATCCCAGTGTTTATCTGCATTTTCTTCCAAGGACTTTTGTTTGTCATCAGGTAATTTCTCGACTGAATTTTGTTGTACTTTTATTTTGGCTGCTTCTTCTTGTTCAGCATTCCATTCAACATTGTCCCTGTAATAGTTTGTTTATATATATATATATATTTATAAAATGATATTTAGATGTATGCTTATTTGGGAAATATCTTTATTGTAGGTATTTGAAAGTACCATGAATTAAACATATAGACATGGTTCTTGTCCTTCAAATACCGTGAACCACCAATTGGCTTTTTCCTATGTCTAGTTTCCTCTAATTCTTGGAGATTTTCAGTAATAGGTTTAGGTATTTTATAATAATTTCTAATTATAGTAGCGACTATTATACCACGCGTTATGCTTGAAGACTTCGTCAACATTTTCGAGAAAACGGTTTCCGAATTGAGGTCGACACGTGTGGGTTTCTTCCATGGAAGGCTATTTTGTAAACAACTAATTGTTAAATCGCTAGAAATACGGTTTTACATTTAAGTTTTATATATTTCTCAACTTTACGAAGAAAATAAACTTCAATCTGTGCTGTGACAGCACTGACAGCTGAAAAAAAAATAAAAAATATATATATTATTACCGCACAGAGTAGTTTTGAAAGATGCCATAGAGCCATAAAGCGTGTTTCTTCCATTGCTGTAAAAGAAATTAGAACCCTATCGGTCTTATTACAAAAAATCTGTTAAAACTCGGACATTTAAATGGTCGAGGTTTATATATTGGAATAAACTCAACATTATTACGAAGAAAATAAACGTTCATTATCATACAGAAATCAGTCACTCATGTCTGTTAGCGTACAATTACGTTCCGTTTTGAGAAAACTGAAAAGATCAAAAATAATATTACTTCAAATAAAAATGAAAAAAATTATAACTATTTCATTAATATATAATATATATATTATTGAAAATCAGTTTTAAGTTACAAGTAGGAGAAAATATATATATACGGAGAAAAGGAACGGCGGGATATTTTTATTGTTTATTTCAAAGTCAAATGAAAAAATAACAAATACCGTCTTTTATATATTTTTATTATCGTAAAATTAGCTTTAATTATTTTTAGTTAATATATTTTTAATTTAATTAAAATATTTTTCGAAAAACAATAACTTAAAATTCAATTTTTAAAATGTAGTTTGATTTTTTGCATTTAGACCACTGTTAAACTCTTCCACGATTTAGAGATAAACTTCATTTTGTAATAAGAATACATTAATGGTTTATTACCCAGGTTTATCTTTTTGTATATATAACGTCAAAGTTTATAATTTTACCATTACTAATATTTACTAATCTAATTCCGACATGAGATACAAATTTATGTGATTTCTGAGTTTTTAATTTTTAGTTTAGGTTCATATTCTTGAATTGCAAATGTATAATATTATACCTTATTAAGAGAGAGATTATAATACTATTCGAACCGTATATTACACTAAAATTCGTAGTGAAAATGAAATTGTTAGCAATATTTGTTACTTATTAAAGACCCATTTGCCAAATTAAATATGAAAATGCGGAATATGATGATTAACAATTTATGTCAGACTTGATCTTTTGGTATTGCTAAGTAATGTAGGTTTTTCTGGACTATACTTACCTTTTTTTTTTTATATCATAATTTGAGCGTCACGGTCATGAAAATTTTGTGTTCTGAGAATTGGTTCCGATTTTGACCGAATTGGTCGTGTAAGCTGCAATAAGTTAAAATTCTGTTCTCATTTTAAATTTTCAATTTCACACAAAAGGTGTACCTATTCCAGATTTTCACGACTACACTACCTTGTACCTACCTACCAATTTCCAACAATATTAATTGCGATACATTACGGCAAACACTAACAAAAATCCTGCTTAGTGAATGATTGGAAATCGGATCACAAAACAATCAGAACTCTTTATTAATAGCTACTTTGATATTTATTTAGATTTCATAGTACCTTATTGAGTGAGAAAATTCATTGGCAATGGTTATTTACCTCAATGGTGAAAACCGTAACCGTGTATTTCAGATTTTCTCGGTGTACCGAAGAACATCCAATTTGCTGTCGAATTTAGAGTTATTGCGCTATAAAAGACGTTCTGATGCTTTTCTCTGATCAAAGTAAACATCATAAAAACGATTCTACGGGTCATTAATGACTTCCCGCAAACCAAATAGCTGCACGCTGAAATTTATATTGCCTCTTAAATAAAAAACTTTAGCAAAGACTCCTTTAATATAAGACGAATTTTTAAATAATCTACATAGTTAGGTATTTTTATTTGAATATTACTAAAAAGAAATAGAACAATACTAATTAAATTTAAATAGAAATACAGTTGGCCTGTCTAGAACCACAATAAGTTTCATAGTATATAGGTACACGTTGTATATAAAGGTGCACTAGCAGGCTCATACCAGATTTAGCTGGACAGGGAGAGATAATATACGGTGAAAGTGAGCGTTGACGTATGTCGGCAAAGGCCTTAAACCTACACCTGGGTGACAAGTCCTGGGAACTGCTCGGAGTTTCTCTCTCTACCACACTATGGACCCGTTACTCGTACAGAGAATCCACGGAATGCTAAGAAGACAAGCTAGGGATCGCCTTGTAAACATAATAAAATACTTGTGATAGAAGATCCGATTCTTTTAGGGTTTATATGCATAAAATATAGTTTTACCTATATTGAAACAGTAATCTGTAGATATTATTTTATACTTATTACTGTTGTTCACGTTAGTCCTAAACTTTGAAATACAGTACATGCATGAGCAAATAGAGTTTAGGCAAGTTTGGACGCTTCAAGTTGCAGTCGATATCAGAAACTGTCACGTAACCTCTACGAAACCATTCCAAGCTATAGCCAGCAACCGACATCTACAGCATTAGATACTTCAATACCTATTTATACTAGTAATTAAATTTAGATTACTCGATCTATGCCTGTTTTCAATCACATGCAAAAAAAGTTCATCGATTATATTTTATGTGTATTATCTATTGTTATAGATGAATATCTAAACTTAGTAACTTAATTTTGATCATTGATATTATGATAATTGAAGATATGTAGTAATTATATCCGAATGTACGAATCATCATTGTGATATTCATTACATAGTATAAAACAAAGTCGCTGTCGCTGTCTGTCCCTATGTATGCTTAAATATTTAAAACTATGCAACGGATTTTGAGGCGGTTAATACATAGAGTGATTCTAGAGGAATACATGTACACCCAGGCGAAGCCGGGGCGAGTAACTAGTTTCATTATAATTCGAACGGGTGGTGAACAGATTATATATAGATATATAGTGGTTTTCAGTTGAATACCATGACTTTAGTTCAGTTGAACAAATTAGATGAAAATTCCATATTACAAATATTGCATTTTCATGGATAGTTCAAATATAATTCTATAAAAACTATTCATTCATTACTAGTTTATATGTTATTCTCGCCAAACCTGAATAGATATAAATTATTATTTAGATATAAGAGAGATATTAGATATAAAATCGGCAGGGGTTGAAAACTCCTAAACAGAAAACTGTTATTCACTAAACTGTTTAATATTCACTATTGAAACTCATTTTAAAGTTAGGTATAGAATTATCTATTTCAATGGCAGTCTATTTCTAGACCTCCCTGCAGGCTCCATTATTAGACGGTCGTATCGGCAGGGTGCCTCGGGGGTGTGTGGGGGACGGTTCGGCAAACAATCCTCGCGGATATTGAACGGCGATGCGTTCGGAAATGCAGCCCGTCGGCTGCGTGCAATGGAACGTTTCGTCTCTCCCCACGAGCATCAGTGCGTGAAGATATGGATGCACTTGTTTTCGTCTTATTTGTATTCAGATTAGCGATTCAGCTATGATGATTTGTGTATTTGAAATAGTATTAGTTTACTGTATAATTTTCTTCTTGTTTGCATGTATCTTGTTTGTACTACCTATCTGTAGAGCCCATCAGATATCTCTGATACTTATCAGAGATGTTTGATGGTACAGATAGGTATTTACATTAGAAAAACCTGTAAACCCTACATTGAAGAGTATCCTCTTTAATGTAGCTAAATAGATTGCTGTCTGAAAAGGCATCGAAATCGATGACGCATCAAAAATAATCTATTTATATTATTTCCTCGATATTGCCGAATGTTATTTATAATAATATATATTTAATTCGGATTATAAACCACAGTGTTAGTTACAATTTCTTAAATCATTAAAATGATTGCTTATTCAGATTTCCTTACAGATATTGCGCAATAAACGCTAAAAGACAATGAATATATTGATATTTGACAATTGATTATAATAATTTTATGAAAGTAACTAGAATGTCCTGATAGATATGGATATGAACAAAACTACGGACAACAAGTCCGTAAGTAATGAGACCTATGGCATGCTTCGTACGTTGCCACATGTACCCTTCAAAATACAGCTACAAAGCAAGCTGCTTATCAATATAAATAGTTAAAATAAATAACGCACACGTCTTTATACAAACTCTATATCGGTGTTATAAAACACCTATCTACTAAGTTTACAATATTCTAATTACTTGTATTAAAATTATTTAAAGGAACACAGAGTTGAAAGCAAAGGAACTGTGGTTAGAATGAGAACCTAAATATACCACAATTTATTTAAATGTATTCACAATCTTTGGCCAAAGACATTTTGTTTGCGGATGTTTGGAATACAATAAGATATTATTCAGTAAGTGAAGTTCTAGTCGTACCTTATTTGGAGAGACTGGAAAGTAGAGATCACAAAGCGAACCTACTTACTCGGATTACGAGAGATTTTGGCTCAAAGCTAATTAAAGTAATAATTGATAAAAGTTTTACTCAAAATTTGAAACAGTACTTAATTATTGGAATAAACGAAAATGTTGAATTATTTAAAATATTCGCAAGACTTTTTATCTTGTTAAAACTTTCCAAAAGTTATTCACACTTAGATATTACAATTTATGTAGAAGCGTTTGTAAATTCCACAACTTATATTTATTACAGACACAGGCAAGTAAATTCATATATAAGTAAACACATAAATAGTTGTAGGTAGGTACTTGACAGCATAGTTCGTGTAAGTGCAGACAAGCTTCAGTTTACACCAGATTGTAACTGAGTCGCTGAAGTATGCAATCTAACTTAACGAAGATATCGCAACTAACGCTAGGCATCATGTCTGAATATGTATGAATGTATTTATACGACGTTTACAATCTAAATAATAAATATTAACATAAATATATGTCTGATATATTTTATGTTGATATTTCCCGACGACATACGTCGACATACGACGCCTTAAAAGGCGTAGGTTACTGAAATTCGATGACTAATCTAACTGAAGAGACGTTGATTCTACTGAGAGTC